TAAATAAAATATAAATAATAATAAAAGATTGATAAAATATAAATAAAATAATCATAATAATTCTTATCAATCTATCCAGAAGATTTGTGGACATAGATAAGTAATAAATAATAATTAAAGACACGAAATAATTGATGTTACAAATAATAATTAATTATGTGTCACATTTCCAGATGTAAATATTATTGTACTACATAAGACGTTGTATATGATTACGAAGTAAATTGTTACATTCTCCCCTCCTTAAGATTTGACATCCTTGTCAATTCAAATTCTTTGAGTTTCTCTTGAGCATTTGCCAAATTTTCCAAAGGTTCCCATGTTGCATCATGGAGAGGATAACCCAACCATTTAATTAAATATTGTGGTTTCTTTCTAATAATTCTTTTATCCAGAATAGTTTCTACTTCATATTCATTTTGGTTTGTCTCTGGAATATAAATTGCTGGTGGTGGTATTGGTTGTTGAAATTTGTCTGATTCTTTATAAGGTTTTAATAAGGAGATATGGAATACTGGATGTATTTTAATTCAGTAGGCAATTCCAATTTATACGCAGTTTTAGAAATAATGGCTTTGATAATGTACGGTCCAATATATTTTGGAGCTAACTTCCTGGTAGGTCTATTTTTATCAATAGGATTGTTGATATTTCTAGTTGATAATAATACTTTATCTCCAATTTTAAATTCAACATGACGTTGATGATTATTTGCATATTGTGATTGTTGTTGTTGAGCTACTATTAATGTGTCTTTTGCAATGTTAATCATATTATTCCAATGTTCAATAAAATCGTCAGTAGCTGCTACTTTTGTTGAACTTCCTGAAGCTAAAACTGTGGGTGTTATTGGGTGTTGTCTGCAATCTAACTCAAAAGGGGTAAATCCTGTGGAGGCCTGCTTGAAATTATTATACGCAAATTCAGCTGCTGGTAAATATTTGTCCCACTGATCCTGTTTGTATGTGGCAAAGATTCGTAACATTTCCTCTAAAGTATGATTCATTCGTTCGGTCTGTCCATCCGTTTGGGGGTGGAATGCAGTTGACATTGCTAATTTTGTTCCCAACTGTTGAAATAATGCCTGCCAGAATTTACTTGTGAATTTGGCATCTCTGTCTGATACAATCACTTTTGGTAGTCCATGATTCTTAAAAATAGTTGTAAAGAATATTTTAGCAACTTCAGGTGCAGTTGCTGTAGTATGCATTGGTTCAAAATGTGCTCTTTTAGTAAGTCTATCTACAAATACTACTATTGCGTCATTTCCTTTTTTTGTTGTGAATAGTTGTACAATGAAATCCATTGTAATCTGTTCCCAGCAATTACTAGGAATATCCAATGGTTGTAAGTAAGGTTGCCTGACAAAATCCGCTTAGCCTGATGCCGAAAGGTAAAACCTCCTACATAGTGCCGAAATGCCGAAAATGTCGAAAATGCCAAAAATGTTGAAAATGCCGAAATGTCAAAACTGACAAAAATGCCAAAAAATGCCAAAACTGTCCGAAAATGCCAAAAATGTCGAAAATGCCAAAAATGCCGAAAATGCCAAAATGTCAAAACTGACAAAAATGCCAAAAAATGCCAAAAATGTCCAAAAATGCCAAAAATGTCAAAAATGTCAAAAATGCTAAAAATGTCAAAAATACAAAACTGCTGAAATATCAAAACTGCTGAAATGTCAAAACTGCCATCTGCCAGATTCAATTATATAATATGTAAAAATTATACTGCACAATTGTAAATTAATTAGATTATTAAATAATCCAAAAAAAAAAAACCAAATATATATAAAATCAATAATATTTTATTTTTTATTCTAAACATTGATAAATTAAACAATGCAAAAAAAATAAAAATATTTACACAACACCCAAAATTTATAGTCATATTGTTTTCTATTAAAATGCTTTATATATTATATATACATACATATACATAAATTTATGTATAATGAACATGAATTTTGAAAAAAAAATATATTTATACCTCTTCACTAAGAAATTCACCTAATAAGCCATCTATATCATAATCTAAAATTCCTTTTCCATCCTCATTGGTCATATTAACATTTTCATATTCATCAATATCACTATCGTCATAATCATCTAATACATCTTCTGGGATATTGCCAATTTCTTTGATTATTAAATTATGTGACAGATCCACAAATTTTTCGATCCAAATGTTTTCAATCAAAACAATACAATTATCTTCAGGTATTGTTTCACTATTTATGAAAAAGGAAGTCTCACCTTCACCTTCACCTTCAACTTCACTTTCGTTGTCATTATCATCTGTCTCAGCAAATGCTTCTGAAATAGATATATTTATTTCAGTGTCACTTAGACGAGTTTTCTTCTTATTATTAAATCCATAAAATCCAAGTTCTGTCTTTGATCATTTTAGACATGGATTCTAATCATTGTAAATTGAGATTCAAACGTCATTTATGAAACAGCCATCCAAGCATAGAAAATCCACGTTCACAACTTGCAGAATTTGGGCATATTGAAAACAAATAACATGCTAGTGTTGGAAGAGTATCTGGTTGTGAATCTGTGTCAATAAGATTCCACCAGCTTGTAGGGTCTTCTGAACAGCAGACAATATCAAGGTCAAATGGCTCTTCATGATCCTTATATTTTCGTAGTTGCTCGCACAAGATTTTTGACTCATGGAGGTCAAATCCTAATCTTTTCCCAATTGTCATTGCACATTTGACAACCTTTGCATATGCTCCTTTTTTGAGAGGTGTATTCCTAAAATGGGGATCTAAAAAAAAGCATGTAAGGTACTTGTCATCATCAAACTCTTTGAATCTTTCATTCATTACTTTAAAGCAATGATTACGGAATGTTTGATTGAATGATTTTGGTAATTTTTTTAAAACTGCTGCCAATTGTACTAAGTTTAAAAAACAATCAGAAAGTGTGGCTGATCTTGACTCCAAAGCTAATATTGCTTTCCTTAAAGGGTTCAAAACAAATGCAAGGATTCGTAAATCAGAAAAAAAATTTCTCCCTTGAATTATATGTTTTACTTTATCATTTAATAAATGATTATGTTGAGAAGTAATCTCCTCAAGAACTGGTTCTAGCCTTATTACTGATTCTACTGACTCACTAGCAGTGGTCCAGCGTGTCTTGCAATACATTTTTATCCCTCCTCCATTAATTTTGTTTTCTTTAATTAGTTGGAAAAGCACAGCACCAGCTTGATGAGAGCTTTTAAAAAAAGTGGCTAAATTATTAACCCGTCGTAATAAGCGATCGCCAAAGTTCTCTTTGACAATGTCACATGCAATCAAGTTGATAGCATGTGCTATACAACAAACATTCTCTATATTTGGATATTTCTGTTGAATAATTGCATGTGCATTTCGAACATTTGAGGCATTGTCTGAAACTATGGCTGATATTCGATTCACCCCAATACTTTCAATGATTTCTCCAATTACCATGGCTAAATATTCTGCAGTATGAGAAACTTCTGACAAGTCAGAAAGTTGATAAAGATATTCTTTTCGTGAAGAAGTCATAATTACAAAATTCCAAATTGAGCGATGTGTACCAGAGGTCCAGCCGTCAAAGGCTAAATTATATCAACATTAATATGTTTTTTTTTTTTCTTTTTCTAGATGTGTCTTTCTTGGGCAAAAATTCATCAAACGTCACAATTTGAGGTCAATCTGGTGTAAGACTGGTAGAATATTTTGACATGATATGAAGGATGAAATTCAATCAAAGTTATTATGACTATTATGGCCTAAAAATCTTTCTCTTGATGAATTAATTAGTAGTTGAAATGAGTTAACTTTTAAAACTAAAGAAAATTTTGATAAAGTGACTAAACAAAATCAAGAATACAAAGAGAAAATTAAGGCATTATAAGCAGGGCAAGAAAATTTGGAAGCAGAGGTAGAAGAATTAGAAGAAAGAGTAAAAATAGAACAGGACAAGTTAAGGAATTCATGGCAGTTGGTGAAAAATGAAGCAAAAATCAGGCAGAAGACATAAAAGAGAAAAACAAGAAACTCAAAAGTGCTAGTGCAAAGATTTCTCATCTAGAAGCCTGAGTTGAAAAGTTGGAGGAAGAATCAAGTCAAAAGAGCAAAAAAAATAGAAAAACTAAGTAAGTAATTAACTGATAGTGAAACACAAAATGAAAATCTAAAAAATTCACCCTACTTACCTGTCTTACCTAAACTGAGCATATTTAAGCAATTAAAAACAGAAGCAAAAGTCAAGTTCCAAAAATTACAAAGGCTAATCAAAAAGGAAAAGCTTCACAACCAAGAAATGATTGCTCAAGTAGAAGTTAAGTCTAAATAACAAGTAAATTACAATGAGAGAACTGGAATACACAGTTTTAGAATTAGAAAAGAAAGTAAAAAAACTTGTGATTTCTGCTCTAAACTTGAGAATAGAAATAACAAATCTGTTCATCAAATAAGAGTATGTAGTAAAGTAACTGGGTAATGAATTTCAAATGATGTGGTTTGTGAAAGATGCAAAGAAAAATATTGGAATGATGAATTGTCAAAGTGCAATAGATGTGGTAGATTGCAAACTAAGTTAGATTTTGATATTGTTAATGGTAAGAATGTTTGCTACTGTATTAGAAACAATGAAGATTTAGAAGAGAAGGAACTTCCTCTCTTACCTCATGAAGAAATAAGTCAGTCTACTTTTTATGAGAGACAAATAAACTCCCTACAACAACTAAACAAGACTGAAGAAGCCTTAGAAATTGAAAGGGAAGAAGTAATCAAATTTCAAGAAAAGTCTGAGGAATGAGGTAAGAGGCAAAAGCAAGAACTTTTGGATAGAATAAAAGAATTGGAGACTGAACTAGAAAGATTAAAAAAATTAACCCCTAAAGAACTAGTTGATAAATTAAGTGCTAAAGAAAAGGAAATCAATGATTAAAAGTTCAACTAACCCAATTGCAACAACAGAATGGTCAAATTGCTCAAATTGAAGTTAAAGAGACTAAAAGATGATCTTGATTGAAAATGAGAAAGTAGTTTCTGTATAAATTGAAATTCATTCCAACTATCAAAGAAAATGGTAGTTATTTTCTTTTCCCAACATTTATTATTTTTCTATCTCCTTGGTAAATTTCATGGGTAATCCTTTCTTTTCTTAGATAAGCTTCAAGCATTTGAGTATCATTTATTTTGAAAATGTAAGGAGCAATTTTTTTACCTTGTTCCTTCTTCAAAATACTTCTAATGGTGGTATAATTCTTGGATTCCATAGTAGATCTGATATAAATGAGTTTCATATTAACTATTTTTATATAGGTGTAGCTCTATATCACTTAATATTAAGAAGATAGCAAATAGGAGATTTTAACAATCACATTACTAAATTTTGATCTCTGAAATTCTGATAATACCAATGTTCACTTAGTCTGGTTTTGTTGCAGCATGCCCCATATACATGAAAAGGATTTAATTCATTGTGTTTTACATAGTGGTAATATACTTGGGATTATGTGGTCCAGTTGATGAAAAATAATCAGATAAAGTCTATGGAATTGTATCATATGTTCCACCTGAACTACTCAGAGGTAAAAAGAATCTGATATCTATAGTGTTGTGATGTTAATATTTGCAGGTCACCCACCAGCTCACAATCATTGTTTAATTTTTGATATATGTGCAAAAGATTTACAAGCACCAATATTACCAGGAATGCCTGATTACACACAAATGATGCAGAGGTGTTGGGATGTGGATCCATCAAAAAGACCAACTATTAGAGAGCTTTTTATTTTTCCTGATAATAAACATGAAGAAATTCTCAATAATATTGATAACAATAATAGGAGTGTCAATAGTGATTCACAATAAGCACACAAATCACATCCAGATGCATATCATAAAAGTAGAATATTAGATGAAGAGATTGCTAAATCAAAAGCTTTAAAAGTTATAAAGTAATGACAGTTCATTAAATAATCTTGATTTTAACTCTCTTCTCTAAAATGTTAACAAAGATGAAATAAAAATTCCATTATTAATTACTATCTATCCATTAATTATTACTAACAATATTTTTATTTATTATTAAAAGAAAGAATCGATGAGTGATTAATTTTAATATCCAATGTAAATTTATTCATTATAATTATTTATTTTTTTATTCGTTATTTCTAAATTTTGTAGTAATAAACTTTTTACAGTTCCCGATTCATGTTAAGTTGTGATATTGCAACGTAGCCTTTGATCACGGCTTAGCTTTTGGGCTATTCTTGTCAGTTAATAGCAAGCAACTCGCAATAATTCAGTGCTTGTCAATTAATTAGTTTACGAATTTACTTTGGTTTTTACTTCTTGTACCTAATAATTGTAAGTAAATAAAATGGTTCTTTTATTTTACAAAACTCAAAGGCCTCTATGAAGTTTCTTTTATTCGTTTGTGACTGATTTATTTCAGTTGTTTATGTAAAAGTGTGTATTATAAAATAAATTTTTTAAGCATTAAAGTTGATTTATCGAATAATTTACAACAAAATTTTTTTATGACAAATTATATGTTTCACTATACAACCAAAGAGTACCCCAGCGGGCTTATGTTTCATACATAGTATCTCGGATTGACTGAATATTTTTAATTTAACAAATAATTCAGATACATACAATCAACCAAATTCAAGACTTCAATATTGTGGCATTCATCAAAGGTTTCAGCAGATAAATTTACTTTTACCAAAAAATAATGACAATAATTATTACAGGTAAAAAATAGATTTGTTACAGATATAGATATTATGTGGGATATCAACGACTAGAAAGTTTTAATAAACTGGAGAATTATTTCCATTCACTAATACAAATTATATGGAAAAAATTTATATTAAAAATTAAATTTATTTTGGTAGTGGATCACCATCACCATTGATCACTTGAGGTCACGTCGTTTTGTAAAAGGATGTCGATCCATTAAACCTAATCAATCTAATCTAAATCAATAAAATTAATTGCACAAAAAAACTCATTTACAAATTATAAAATTACTTTTTTACTTTTTTCTTCTTTCTTTAATTAGTAATAAAATAATGGTTAAATTCTTTCAACACACTTTTAGATATGAGTAAGTTCTTTTGCTATGATTATTATGATTATTAAATAAAAATAAAAGTGCTATATTTCGATAAGGTTTTCTTTACCGACAAATTTTAAAAAAATAAATATTAAACTGCAATTTCCATTTACATTTCCATTCCAAACTCATTTCCAAACCTAATAATTTCAACTTTCAACAATTCTAATTCTGCTATTATCAATTAAACATTAACAAACAAACAACAACCATTTTTTCACATGTAGATATCCATGGGATAATGTAACCTTGGCATTTTGGATGCGGTATCCAAATCCATTTGCTTCTCATGTTGAAAGCGTGGATGTGATTGATAGATATGTTGATCCAAAGAAAGGCATATTAAGAACCACAAGATTGATTTTGAAGCGTGGAGTTGTACCAAAATGGGGAAGAGGGGTTAGTAATTTAGTAGTAGTGATTACAATAACAAGGATGATGGAATAAATGAATAAATAAATATATTCATATATATAAACAATATAAAGTTTTTTAAAAATTCTGAAGCTTATATTCTCGAAGAATCCATGATTAATCCAAAAACTCAAACAATGATCACATTAACAAAAAACATAACACACGCTAGAGTTATGCAAGTGGAAGAACGGCAAACTTTTCGAGTTGATCCAAATAATCCTGAACACACTCAAGTCACAACTGAAGCTAGAGTTATTAGTAATTTTGGTTGGGGATTGACCGAGCGAGTTGAAGGTTTTGGAATTAAGAAATTTTCAGATAATACTACAAAGGTAAATGTATATAATTTGTGATGTTTCTACCGCTGATATTGTGGTGTTATTGTCATTATTATTACTATTATTATCAATGTTAATGTTTATTGCATAATAATATTAAAAGAGTCGAAAGGGTATGTCGCATGTGCTGGAAATGATTAGAGAGAAAAAATTATTACGTGGTAGAGGATTTTTATCGTCATCATAATTATTGACTTCGATATCAACAAGGTCAGTTGGACTAAATAAATGGATTAGATTAAATTATTTCCTCACTTTCTCGTCTTCTCATATATTACTTGAAGGATTCTTCTTTCACCAAAATATATATAATAGTAGTAGTAGTAGTAGTAGTAATACTATATTCATTATAATTATTATTTTACCAAACATTCAAAAAGAGAATGATTTATTGATTTATTGAGTAAAAATAGGTAGATTAAGACATTGATGGTGATGATGACACGGTGATGATGATATGATGATAGAGGCTATAATGATGATAAGGATATTCATGAGCAAAGAGATACATTATCATTATGGTCAATTCATTATATCCATCCATCATTTTTATGTTATCTTTGAAATTTTTTTTATTATAGGGTTAATGAAAAATTAATAAATGAATGGAAAATACCTCAAAAATTATTATATTGCCTGCCGTCAATCAATTATTTGACATATAAAGATTATTTGTTAGCTAGCGACTATAAAAATAGATATGACAACAATAATAGTTGCATATATTCTAGTAGATTTTATGAATATCATTGTTTTATTTATGAGGAAGAATATGATGATAATAATTATTATTGCTATAATTTTAATGAAGGTGAAGACTCTAAAGAAAATAATAAAAAGAAAAAGAAAAGAATAAACAAGTATTATTTAATCTCAAATGTAATAAATATAAAAAGAGAATACGATAGAATAAAATCTGATTACGAGAGAGATCAATGGATAAGAATAAAGCATAAAGAAATTAAAGAATATTTAGAAGATGTGGAGAGACTTATTATGGAAGATTATAAAAATTTTTGTAGTTTTTCATAATTATAAATAAGGTTTTGTAAAAGTTTTGATTTTTATAATTATGAACTTTAATATTATATTCCTTATTAATTATCTAAATATTTATTATTAATAAACTAAAATCTAAAAAACATTTTTGTTTCATAGAGTTGTTGTCTATGTAATTTGATCATGCAAATTTATATTATATATTTTATATTGTTTATATATATGTATATATATGTCCTAACTAGAGTAAGTTGGTTTTCTAAGATCAATCTACAATTCCCATTTTTGGTGATAAAAACGTGTAAATAATGCAAGCTTTAAACAGTTAAAAATGTCATCTATGTTATTTATCTCTCGACATAATATAAATTTTTTCGACAGAAAGTTACTAATTATACGAGTTTTCAATCAATTAATCATTAAATTTTGATCCTTTATTAGAAGATAAAAAGGGTTCGAAAAAGGTCGAGAGATAACAATATGGGGAAAGAAAGATAAACGATTGATTAAATCGCATTAAGACAAAAATAAAAAAATATTATTATCTTTAATTTTTCGCGTGTCGTCATTCCATATCGGTATTTATGCTTACACATTTATTCATCTTTTTTTTTCTCTCTCCCCCCCATCTTTTTCAATTGTCTTCGAATTATATATATATATAAATAAATACAACATAATATTTTTTCTCAAATATCAAAATTATTTTTTTTTTAAATTTAATAAATCCATAATACATATATGCATACATATATATACAAACATAATAAACATGTCGGATAAATATATTAAACTTGAAAAGATTGGAGAAGGTTAGTTGTAACTTTAACATTTCTCTTTATAAATATTGAACAAATGTTTTTACATGTAAATGTCATAACCATTATTTTTTTTTATAAGGAACATTTGGTGTGGTTTATAGAGGAATGGAAAGAAAATCAGGTCTTGTTGTTGCATTGAAAAAGTTAAGGTTAGAAACTCATTGTCACGATGGAATACCATGCACAACTGTTAGGGAAATTTCAATATTAACACAAGCAAATAATAAAAATATTGTAAAGTATGTCGTCGATTCCACTGAAAATTTCACGTGTTTTTTTTTGTGATAAATAAATAAAATTAATGAATTTTATATTTTTAAAGATTATTGGACACAATTTATTCTGATAAAAATTTATATTTAGTATTTGAATATCTTGAAACTGATCTAAGGAAGTATCTTGATAACGCTGGTCAGCATGGTTTAACAATATTTAATGTTAAGGTAAAAAAATAATAATTCAATTAATATTATTTTTATCAAGAAAAAAAATCAAATATTAAATTCTAAATTATTTAATAATAGAAATTCATGTGGCAATTAATGAGTGGTGTTTACTATTGTCATTCTCATCGTATTCTTCACCGTGACTTAAAGCCACAAAATTTACTTATTGACTCAGAAGGAAATTTAAAATTGGCTGATTTTGGGTTAGCAAGAGCATGTAGTGTTCCAATGAGAGCTTATACACGCGAGGTAATATAATCGATGATTTAATTTCTTTTTTCTTTTTTTAAAAAAATCAAGTTAGTTCATATCTCTTGTTAAATATAAAGGTTGTCACATTATGGTACCGTTCACCAGAATTATTACTCGGATGTCCACAATATTCAACTGGTGTTGATATTTGGAGCGTGGGTTGTATATTTGCTGAAATTCTTTCAAGCCGTGCTTTATTTAAAGGTATTTATTTATTTTACTATTATTACTATTTATATTATTAGAAAAAACCAAAATTTAATATATAATACGTATAAAGATAAATTTAACCAACCAGTTAACTAATCAAATTAATTAGGCGATAGCGAAATAGATCAACTTTATAAAATATTTAGGTTTGTATTAAAACGCCTGCTTATATTATATTTGTATAAATGCTATTTTCTCCAATTATTAATAATATATAAATGCGCACACATATATATTAGTACACTTGGTACACCAAATGAAAATATATGGCCTGGAGTTTCTCAATTACCAAATTTCAAAGTACGATTTCCAAATTGGTTACCAAAATCACTATATTTATTTGTTCCAAATTTGGATATTAATGGACTCAACTTCTTACAGGTAGTTGATTAATTATATTCCTACTAATATTAACTGATTTTATTAATTAATTTTTTGTTCTTTTCTTCTCTAGAATATGTTAACTTATGAACCTAGTCAAAGAATTTCTGCAAAAAAAGCATTGCATCATCCTTATTTTGATGATTATAAACAAAAATATGTGCAATTAATTAGATGCAATACATGTAATAATACATATAATTAAAATTCTTATTTTTTATTTTTTTTTTTATTTTTTACATAATAAAAAATTTTTATTACCAAATTAAGAAAATAATTGTACGCGTATTTTGTTATAGACACGTGTGAGAGTAGCATAGTGGACATTTGATTTCATTGGCTAAATTATGTGACGATCTCCCTTCCAGATATCACGCAAAAAATTAAATTTTATTGGCTTGAAGATCGTTACGCAAATTTGAAAAACCAATATTAATATCGGAGGGAAGGAAATTTAGTTCCAAATTGATAAAAATAAAATGTTTATAATAAATAAAAAATTAATATAGTATTTCTTTATTGAATGTTTTAATACATAGGCTTGGTTTTTTGTTATAAAGTCTAATATATTATTTACTTTTCAACTTTTCATTGACTTCATCAAATCAACACTTTACCTTTGATCATGAATTGTCATCCATTATATAATACTATACATATATATCTGACATTTCCTATAAATAAATAAGTTGGTGACATGAATACAAATGAATATATGAATTTTGAATATAAAAATAAAAATAAAAATAAATGTAAATATGTAAATATATAAATATAAATATATATAAATATAAATATAAATATAAAAGAAATATATTTTAAATACATTTTTAAAATTGTATACATCACTTTATAATTACACCCTGAGTATATCTGTTATTGTTGTTTAAAAATCCTTTTTTGTTTTTTTAAATGCATCATTAAAAAATCAAGAAATAATGTTCTCTAATTAATCAAAATGTATAAGTAACTTACTTTCAAAACAATTCTCTTAAATAAAAAAAGAAAATAACAATTAACTCTCAAATAAATACCAAAAACTGTTTGTCAATAAGATTTCCTATTCAATCTGATCCACATATACACATAAAACAATTTTGTTTGTTATCAATCACCTTTTTTAAAAAAAAAATTTTTAGAAACTAAATTATATATATATATATATATATATATGCATTGTAATAATTGAACATCATTAAACCTCTTACTAGTAATAGTTCCTCTAAAGATATATATGCATGTGTGTTTAAAATAATTTTTTCACTATAATAAATAAAATATTATCCAAAATTTAGTATATCAAAGTTTATATAACAAAAAACTTGATCACAATATAAAAAATAAATAAATAATAATATTTACAACTGAGAGTTTATCTTCCATCACAGATAGTTTCTCACATTTTTCTTTCTCTCCATCTCTTGCCAATAATAATGATGTGATCAAAGAGATGAACAAGAAGGTATAACATTAATACATGGTCATGGAACTTTATAAAAAAGGTGTTGTCTCAAATGTAAAATCCTATATAATAATAATAGAATAGAAAAAGATAATGGTTAATGATAATTTGTTACATTAAATGAAGAATGATTATTTCCGAAATGTAAAATTTTAAATAAACTTATTATAAAACAAAAATGCATGAATCTGAGCCTAGAATGTCTTACAATATACTTACGTTGATCACTAAAGCTTGAAACATAGCTCCTATGTAACCCTTCAAAAGCAACTTGATCATTTGATCATTTTTCACACACATACCAAGAACATAGAAAGCAAAATATACACGTTAAAAAAATACATCTCAGGTTAAACAAATTTTTGTGCGCAGTCACGCGACTTTTTTCCATTCTAAATTCAATTGAAGTCATATGTTTCACAACATAAAAAAGATCAACGATCGATTTTGTCACATGTGATAAAACGAATGTCCACTATGCTCCTGGAAATCGTCCGCATATGGTGATAAAAACAAACGTGTAACCAAATTTATAAGGGTTGTTTCACAAATGCATTAGTGCGTAAATTTTTTTCAAAAAAAACTTTTGAATGACAACCAGAAACCATACACTCACTTTTCTAGAGTATCGTGATGCATTTACGAGATCTAATAACCTAAGACCTTCATCAAATATTAATCCTACCTTTGATTCTTATAATAATAATTATGAAAATATTGGGTTAATAGAAAGCTCAGAACATGTAATAGAGCTTTCCATTTTACCACCAAAATGGTATTATACTTCATTTTTTTTTAAAATTAATGATTATCAAAGTTATTTTTCATTTGATAAATTTTTTTTCTCTATACATATATTTATTTCATTTCATTTTTAATTTCAATGTTTTCTAGGGTAGATATAGTGGAGGAAGTGGATGAATTAGTTAATCAAATAAAAAAGCTTAGTAATTAATCTGGTTTAATTTTTTTTATTATAATATAAAGATTATGAATTAATTATATTGCCCTTTTTTTAGTTCCACAATTGGAGGAGCTCCATAAAAGACATATACTCCCAGGATTTGATGATAGAACTGAAGAGGAAAAAGAGATGGAACAATTAACAGATGAAATAACTAAAGTAAAATTACATATTCCTATATATACATGTAATTAATTGATCAGTTAATTAATCAATATATTTATATTTGCATATATAGCTTTTCCAAGAATGTCAAAGAAAAGTGAAACAAATTGATAATGCATCAACAAGATCAAATCAAGAACAAACTCTGAGCAAAAATATTCAAACTTCATTAGCATTAAAAATACAAAATGTATCATTAGATTTTAGGAAGATGCAAACAGCTTATCTGAAAAGTAAGTAAATCTTGTTTGAGAGTGGATGAGTGAGTTTTTGTTAAAAAAAATTAAAAATTTATTGATACAAATAATGGTTTTCAGAACTCAAATTAAGAGGAAATCGTAACCCTGGATTATTTGCAACAGAAAATATAGATTTAATTGAAGAAAATTGGGAATTGGTAAAATTTTATTATTTTTACATTGTAGTAATTAATAATAATAATAATTAATAATAATAATTTTTTTTAAAGGGATTTTCTGATCAACAACTTGAACTTATTGAATCTTCAGAGGCAATTATTTCACAAAGAGAACATGAAATAAATGAAATATCAAAGTCAATAAATTCATTGGTAACAATCTTTAAAAATATGCAATCCCTTGTGATTGATCAAGGAACATTATTGGATCGAATTGATTATAATGTTGAACAAATGAGTGTTAATGTCAGATCAGCAGCTAAAGTTTTAGAACAAGTAATTAATTATATATATTGAGATGAAAAATGAAGTGAATTTAATTTTAAATTAATCAATTTTATGTTTATATAAAATTTTTAGGGTGCAGGCTATCAAAAAAAATCAAGAAATCGAAAAATTATTATATTGTTGTTGTTACTTATTTTGGGATTAGCTATAGTTCTTATCTTTAAACCACGTAAACATAAATAAAATTATGTTTTATATTTTGTAATTTTTATTTATATTTTAATTAACACTTTAGATTTTTTATTTATTTTTAATAATAGATTAACCATTAATTAATTCATTAATACTAATAATATTTGTTTTAATAATAATAGTAATAGTTAATAATAACATGGACTGGCTAGAATTTTGGTTAATATTAAAAAGTGATCTGTCATGTGATTCTACTTCGCCTTAATCAAAAGCAAAATGATTATCACAATAAAAAAAATTTGATATTTGCCAAATTTTTTTTTTTGCAAAGCTAATTATTCACATATTTTTCTTAAATGCTAAATTTTTGGTTTAAAAATGGAATTCTTTAATATTTTAATAATTGCTCTAACACAAAACATATATAACAATTACACAAAAAATTATATTAGTTTGTAGCTTCTGAAGATTATATATATAAAATTCCATGCCTCCATACTCTTTAGGATCTTGTCAATTAAAAGCCTCCGTAATAATATGTTTCAATATTTATATTGTCTAAAGATTGTGTTAGATATTTGTTTCCATTAATGAAAATTAAAAGGTATAAAGTAGATCATGAAAAAAAAATAATTAAAATTTACCTTTAAAATTTTATTGGGGGGAGGGTCATTGGAGCCAATAAAATCAAAGGTATATAAAAATTAGGATTGATCATGTAACAAAGAACAGGCATAGGGAGTATTTGAATTGGACCAAAGGTTTCTTGTTTGAAATCAAATTTCTGTTCTATCATTCACTACAACATGTTACCAATAAAATAATAAAAGAACATTTTATATTTTATTGTCTTTCATATTTTTTTTTATTGAAAAGTTTAAAAAAACCTTTTCATTTTTACAGGATAATGTGAGATCAAATAATTACTAAAATAAAGGAAAATGTCAAATAATATTTCATTAACTTCATTATCATTAATACGTGTAAAATTTGGTTCAACTAACCCAATTGAATACATATTTGCATATATAACATTATCACCTTTTAGCAAGCATGGTGGCATTTGTAACCATAATAGTTTTTGGAAGAGGACACTTTCATGGGACAATCAATCTGTGAACTGTTTAATGCCATTTTGAAAAGATGGTTGAGAGAAGAGAGCAACAGATTGGTTAGATATGGTGGTTGACTGAATGAATGATTGATTGATTTTATATATTATTTAGATAATAAATGGACTTGGGTATTGGATTATGGTATACATATAACAGGCGTATTTTTTATCAGTTGAAATAAATTAAACTTCTATCAATATTTATTATTTGGAGCATTAACATGTACATAATTATAAAGTTAACATTTGAACCTTTAGGATTAATTAACATTAATACAGATTTTGCAAGATATTTTTATTTAAGAAATTCAGCTTTGATATTTTGAGATTGAATATATTAGATAGATTTTGATGTAAAAGTATGAGAAGGAAAAAAAGATAGAAGGAAATCAAAAAATCTTACTAGATATTTTATTATTTAAAAAAACCATTACATTTTTAGCTATTTTGAATATATATATATGATATTAATTTTATAATTCATATTCCAAATCAAACCATTTTTCATTTCCTAGAAAATTAAATTAATTAATAAAAAATAATTAAATAATTAATTCAATTTAAGAAATAGACATCTTTACAAACCATGAACAACTTCACTCTCACCAATCAATTTGAATCCTACTTTTTCATATAAAGGTATCAATTCTTTATGAGCAATTAAACAAATCTTTTCATGTAATTTTTTCACATCATCATTATTATTTAATAATAATATTCTTTCAATATATTCCTTCAATAAACTTGTAGCAATTCCTAGCCTTTGATAATTTTTATCAATACAAACACTATGAATACAAATTGTTTTACCATCTGATTCATGTGTTGACATTGATTCTTCAGTGAGTTTTTTAGATCTGGTCAAAGTTGATACTACAAACCCTATCATTCTTATTTGTGTCGAATCCTTGTTATTATCACCATCACCATTATCATTATCATTATTATGACAATAAACGCCTAGAAATAAATTTGGAGCATGTTTCTGTCGATATTGTAATTTTTCAAAAGTTGCAGCTTCTTCAATAGGATATCCTTTTAGTATTATTATCATGATTATTAATGATTATTATAGTTGTAGTTTTTTTATTATATGTAACAAATAACAACAAAATAAAATAAAAACAAATCCATTATTTTTTTGATAGCTAGTTAATATAATAAAACTAAACAACCTTTTAACTCTAATTGGAAAGCTTTCTCGACCTCTTGTTCTTCCACTAATTTAAAAACCAAAGAATTTTTTATTTCGTTGTTAATTGTCATCGTTATATGTTGACAAAAATTTTCTGATGGTTGCAGAAGAATTTTGACGGAATAGCGTTATATTATATTGTTACGCAATACATAAGTAGGATTGGGGTCGGTCGCTTGTTTGTCTATAAATGCAATCACGTCCACCAACCTGCGGTCAACTGCTGCTACGCAGCCAAAACATAAACCACTACTGCAGTAGCAAGCCCAGATGCTTGAAATATCCTCCCGGCTGAAAAATTTAACTATAGTCTCAAGTTATTGTGTGGATCTTTACATTTAATGGTATGATCTTAAAATCAAGGTGTATATGGCCAGCTCAATCACACCATTAATGAAATCGTGAAAACTATAGAATAGAAAAAAGTAAAAAATCACCGAAAAAGAAATCATTGTTAGGTATAATATTAGACTTTCATCAAAAAAAAACCGAATAGCCAAATGAAGTACAAAAAGATGCTTTTTTTTTTTTAGAAGAATTCGTTAATATCGATGAATTTTATATTTTATTTATTTATTTTTTTATACATGTTTTTTTTAAATAGTTTGGAATTAAAAAAAGATTCTTTTATAATAAATGTATAGATTAGGATTAAGTCACGACCATGACCATGATCATCATAATATGAAGGATACTTGAATGTTTCTTTTATTTCTTTCTTTCAGGTCTAAGATTTCTTACAGTTTTGCCAGTTGTCCAAATTTCACTTTCCCTATAAAATAAAAAATCATTAAATCCTTTTTTAAAAAAAGAATATTATTATAATAACATTTGATAATACAATAATTTTTACCTAATCTCTTTTAATTCTTGCTCTAATTCTTCGCGATATTTAGGCGAAGAATTTTTTTCTAAAGATCTTTTAGTTTCTGTTCCGTTAGCAACGGATTCATATAATTTTTCAAATACAGGCTTTGTGGCATCGTGAAATGGTTTATACCAATCAAGCGCACCTCTTTGAGCTGTTGTAGAACATGCTGCATACATCCTTTAAAATAGAAATATATATTGTTAAAATTTATTTATTAATTTATATATATGTATAACAATACTCTACCAATCCATTCCATTTTCGCCAATCAAAGGATATAGAGATTGTGTAGCCTCTTCTACTGTTTCATTGAATGCTTCAGAAGGTGTATGACCATTTGCTCTTAAAACCTCATATTGGGCTAAAAATAAACCTTGAATTGCACCCATAAGAACACCTCGTTCACCTACAAGATCAGAAAACACCTCTCTTTCAAAAGTTGTTTCATAAAGATAACCTGAGCCTATAGCAACACCAAGCGCAACAGCTTTATCTTTAGCTTTTCCAGATGCGTCTTGGAATACTGCGAAAGATGAATTAATGCCACGTCCTTCGAGGAATAATGATCTAACAGTTCTACCTGAACTAAAATTAATATAAGTGACAAATGTTTATTATAAAAAAAATTTCCAACCTCCCAAATGATCATAATAAGAAAATAAGTTAGATACCCTTTGGGTGCAACTAAAATCACATCAATATCTTTTGGTGGTATTACATTTGTTTGATCTTTATAAACTACTGAAAAACCATGAGAAAAATATAATGTTTTTCCTTTAGTCAGGTGTGAAGCCATTTGAGGCCAAAGTGCTTTTTGTGCAGCATCCGACAATAAATCAAGAATAATTGTTCCTTTTGAGACTGCTTCTAAAATAGGAAAAAGCGTTTTCCCAGGAACCTATGAATTTGAATTAATTGATTAATTAATACATTTATTTTTGATTTTTTTAATTATAATAATAACTTACCCAACCATCTTTCAATGCTTCTTTCCAACTACTTCCGCCTTCTCTCACACCAATAATCACATTCAAGCCATTGTCGCGTGCATTTAAACTTTGACCACTTCCTTGTGGGCCATAACCAATCACTGCAATTGTATCATTTTTGAAAAATTCTTGGAATTTTTCCTTTGGCCAATCTGATCTTTCATAAACTTGTTCGTTAGTACCACCAAAATTTAATGTTTTAACATTACGAATTTGAGTAGTGTTAAATAATTGTTGATAATTATTGCATCCAATGATCTATCAATCATATTTTTTAGAATACAAATTTAACAAAAAATACCAAAGTTTTATAAATTACAATCTACCAATATATATATCCACCTTGACAACATTATTAGCATTCCTTACGATAGAAGTTGAATTTTTTGTTAATGTGAAAAACGATCTATTCATAAATACAGCAGGCCTTTGATTTTTTAAAATAACATTTGAGGTCCTTAATAAAGAGCTTAAAACAGAACGTGTTGAAGACATCATATTTTTTTTTTTTTTTAAAGATTTGAATTAAAAAAAATTTATTTTTAAAAATTTTTATCAATCAATTTTTACACAATCTGCATATTAAAAAAAAGTATATATAGTAATTAATAAACTTTTGATAATTTGGCCGGGTTAGTCTAAAGCGCCGCACTCAAGTTGCTGTCTCGAAAGAGGCGTGAGTTTGAATCTCACAATTAGTGTTACGACCCGGATTGTATCCGTTAGGATATTTTTTCATCCGGATTGGTATTAATAAATAAAAACATTTATTTTTAATTTGGAGATGAATTGTTCAAGTTGTGATTTAAGAACATAAATTTTTTAAAAAAATCGTTCTTTTACCTGTTTCCCTATACAGCCTAAGCTCTCTATACCGAACCACCCTATATGTAATTTTTCTCATTATAGAGAGAGTTTACTAAGATGTTCGTTATAAAGAGAGAAATTAATTATAAAAAATTGAATCGGGACAAAAGGGAAGTTCGTTATTATAGAGAGATTTTACTTAGTGTTCGTTATAGAGAGGTTAGGCTGTATTGTTTATAAATTTTCTTTTCATTGAAAAATAATATTTTCTTCAAAGGATTGGAAGATTGTGATATTAAATTTTATTTTAATAGTAATAGGTAGAATTCATAATCTATTAAATAGATAAACATGGTCGAAAAGTCCTCAATTCAGCATAAAAAAATCAATATTATTATTGTTGTTGTTAATATTAACGGATCAATAGATTGTTAATTGTAAGATATTATTATTATCGTTAACGAGTTAACGGGTTGACGGATTGTTAATGGATTAACGGATTGTAACACCAAATCTATAATAATAATGATAAGCTAACCATGATCCGCTAACAACCCGTTATTATTATTATTATTATGCAAAATTTCTTAATGTTAACCCGTTACAACTCGGTGATCCGTTAACTACTGGATAAGGTCTTAACGGATCGCAACACTATCAGTCACCATCAAATTTGACATTTTGCTCGTTAATGTAGTTTTGTGTTTTGGTCTTCTGCATACATATTAATACGTGAAGGAAAAAATTGGTATACAAAGTAATTGTGACGCTCAGAATAATTTTTTATATAGCATTATGTGCACTTTCCATCGCAATAATTATATACTCGTGGATAATAATACTTGAATGAAAAATCACCTTTATCCATAAATTCTTAAGAAGTTATGCGAATTTTATAAATTTGACCTTTTAGGGTATCGTAAAAAAATTATTAAATTTTAGCTCACGAATACAATAATAAAATTAAAAATTTTATCCAACAATGTCTAAATGTACTGATTACTTTTATGTAACATTTCAGCTTTCTGTGATATCGCTAACGGCAGCCTGATTCCGCTCACTTGTTCCAAAAGGAGACACATTTGATCTCGAGCAACTGTTGAATGTTGATTCAAAAAATATACAATCAAACTGAGGTCCCAAACGTGGTTACGCGACTAGGAACATTTTAACCCTCTGGCGTTTCGTCGTGTATCGCAATATCGGGTTACAAGGCTCCTCTTGTACATACAACTGCCTTATGGGCAGCATTCAGTTTCTCTAGCTTTGTTTGTTCCTACCGTTCCGATTACTAATTATTTGTTATTTTTTTTTTCTTACTGCTCCCAAGTTAAACTACTGTAGGGTCACCGTCAGAGTTATCCGTGTATCCAGACGTTTTAGAATGGCATTGAGTTACCCGTTGTTGATTCAAATCTACAAGTGGACAAGGTTCATTCCATTTCCATTAATTTGGGTTTCATTCCGGCATGTATTGAGTGCATATCCTAATTAGATACGAACTGCTCGCACAGTAATTCATGGTGCTAGAAATGTGCTCAGGACCATCATGAAACTATATTGGAATGAAATGACAAATTAAATGATAAAGATTATAATTGCTTTTAGAAGAACGTTCATGTGAAACAAGTTTGTAAGCTTTAAAGAGATTGGTATGAAATACAATACAATGTAGTACGGTTGTTCAACGAATAGAATAATTAATTTATTCGTTTACATCATACTCACATATACATAATTTCTTTGGCAGGATTCTAATCTAAAATGTTCTTTAGATACAGTTGTCAAAGACGATAATTATGAGACCAAAGAAGGCAGAGAATGAAGATGAAAGAGAAAAAGACAGCGAGTGAGCCTAAGTCGTTTCATAATATTCAAATCGAAAAAAATTAGAACTAATTGATAATCTATCTAAAGTGAGAATATTCTCAATGAAGTGCAACAATGATGAACAACAACTCGGTCAATAGTTTTCAGAAATACTGTGGCAATACCAGCAATGAAATGACATGCAGTGAAATCATGGACCTAAAGCCAACTTCAGATTTTGTTCTGATTCACACAGAGAGAAGAATTCAAATTATAAAGGAGATTTCGGACGTGTTGACAAGTTGTTTACAACAATAGTTTCCCATTCGTATACACTTCTCTGGAAGATTTTTTACGTGAAGTTGAATGAAGTTGATCTTGTTCTTTATTACATCTGAGCCAGTTACTTTGCTTGGATTTATATCAACCAGTTGTAAAGTCTACCTTATCACTGTTTAAGTTAAATACAGAACACACAGCACATTCTTAAGACAGCCGGCTTCCTTTTTCCTTGATTACAATTTTATACATAGTTGTTGTATGATTTAGAAATCCAAACATTTCACTCTTTATGTCAATAGTACCACATAGAAGGAAAGCCTGTGGATATGTCATCATTATAAGTTAGGTGATTTATATTTTTTGCAACAGTTGTAATTTCTTCAAGGAGTGAGTATTAATACCTTGAGCTTGGATTGTTGAATACTTGATTTATTTGTTGCGTGAATAAACAAATAAAAATCCTTCTTAATTTTCTTTTAATAATTTATTGCATATTGTTTGTTAATAATAATAATAGAAGTGTATTTGTCTACTCGCAGGTATCATTATTTAATGATTTAATGATTTATAATATTTATTAAACTTATTAAATTTATTTCTATCATAATATGCGTGTGTATATATATTTTTTACTAAATAAATATCAATATTATTAGTAATGTAACATTTTTTAAAATCAAATAAATAAATAAATAAAATTAATTAAAACAATATTTATTTTGTTTAAAAGTATCTAGATCAAATTGGTGTCAATTTGTTTTTAATACTTTCTGGCATACGTAATTGATAATCTATAAAACAAAACAATTAATTAATAATAAAATAATGATAATTTTCCAGAGAATGAACAAATGACCAAATTACCTCCATTCTGTGTAATATATCTAACCCAAGGTAATGCTTGATATCCACTTTTTTCAACAATTTTAAGATATCTCACTTGAATTCCTGAAGTTGTAAAATATGGAATTTCAAATTTTACTCCAATTGGAGGTTTTTGAGAAGGATCCTCTATTTATATAAACAAAGTACGTATGTAGATGTTCATTAGAAAAAAAATTTATATCCCTCAATTAAATTATTTAAAAGTTTTTTTATAAATTTACCATTTTTAACAGAGGGTAACCCAAAATGTGCTCTCATTAAAAATTCCTTGCCACCTTGAAACTGTTTAATTTTCCATACTAAACATGACTTTTCTGGTGCATATTGAACTGAACCAATTGAACTCTATATTATAAGAACATATAAGCGTATATAGATGTACAATTACTATGTGATTGTTTTCATATTATACATTATAGATTATAGATTATAGATTATAGATTTTTTTTAAATTTAATAATTACCCTAAATTTTGGTGAGTCAGCATCGTCGGGAACGGGGACAGAAATTTCAACGTTGTTTGCGGTTGAACGACGTTTAAATTGAGCTTTTGCTTTGATCATATACTCAATTCTTGAACCAGTATAATTCTCTATGAGAGCTTCAACCCAAATTAATGGTTTGACCTGTTTATAAATTTTTATTAAATTTATTAAATTTTAGCCACAAAAATAATCAATGATGTTCAAGATCAAAAAAAAAAGGGCAAAACCTGTGTATTTAAACGATAACTCATCAATTCAAATTCACCATCAGGTGGTATGAATGAAATGGTACGATCATTTTCAAATCTTGAAAGACGAACACATTGATGAAATTTAACATCTTCCATTTCGATAGCTTTTCCTCTTGATGGAGATCTTCCAGTATTCTCAAACATCACTTTATCATTTAAACCAAGCCTTAATTCCGGCATACCACTCAAATAACATTTCATCTTGACCGCACCAAGGATTTCACTACGCAATACATTTCCATTTGTGTTGACCAATAAATTCACTGACTCAACCACGTCCAAAAATACCTCGTTTTTCCTATATTTTATACCCTCTGACCGCCATGATACTGCATTGGTAACAGCCATTGGTGGTCTAACTTGGATCTCTAATTTATGAGATTCTTGAGTTATATATCTGTATGTATATATATTAATTTTATTATTATTTATCTAAATATATTTAAATATATATGCGAATGATATAGTTAATTTTAATTACTCTTGTAAGATTTTTGTTTCAGTTGTTTGTGGATAACCAAAATCCATCATCTCATCCAATAATTCATAAATTATTACAAAATTGTCACGAATAGATTCTTCTTCTAATTCCTTAAAATATTCTGTAAAAACCTACATTTTGTTGAAATTTTTATGAATAAAATATTTTCATCTATGAAATATTTGTTGTGATAATATTGTATTATTATTTACCTCTGTTAACTTGTGAAGAAACAATAGTATTGTGATAGCATTAGAATTTTTTTTTGTTAGTGCTAATACTGTTTAATATAAGATCAATGGTTAAAGTAAAATATATATATATAGGCATTTCTTAAGGAATCAAATAATATAGTTTTTTTTTTTAAAATTACTAAATCAACCCATTCCTTCTTTCCTTTATTGTTAATTTTAATCAACACAATCAAGTATCTCTTAATCATACAATAAATAAAAAAGATACAATATAAATTATTATGGCGTATATACAAGTAATTTATGCCTTCATGTGTAAAACACGGCGTAGGAGCTTGTTGTTCTTCTTCAGCTTCTAAAACAAGAGGCATGAATTTTTCAACAGCTGACATTGGTATATCACCACGATAATTTCTTGAAATTAACACTTTTCCTTTCAAATCCAAAATAAAAATCGCTGATGCCATTTTTAAAAAAATTTTATTATTTGAATTCTAAAGAAAAAAAAATAATATTTATATGTAAATGACGGTAACTAATTGAATAGGGAGCACTGTGTCATCTTTTTCAACCAATCAATCAATATATTTCATACGTCAAGTAATAATAGCGACGTCGTTAGATTTGGTATTGTCACGTGATTACAATAGTGGAGATAATAAACCAACTACTTTGTTCCCAAATTTAAAGAAAACAAAACCATAAACATCCAACGCAAAGGTGTTGATTTCATCAAATTCGAAGGTCCTTGATTTCTGGAATGGTGCATTAAAGATTTAATTAGATGAACATGATTATTGTAAAAAAAGAAATTCATTCATCCAAATGTTGTTTATACTAGCAAATTATTAAAATTTTCAACCCATGAATTGGTAATCAATTATCATGGTAATTATAATGATTTTTACTGTTGATTTTTTAACACTAATGGTGAACATTTTAAATAATTTATAAATAGCCTTACTTATCACTGATGAATTTCCAAAGTAAAATACGTAACTCGAACGTTTATTTATTATTATAGTAACACCAATACGAAGTAATCATAATCGTAATCATCATCCAAGTTCCCAGACAGGCTGTTAATACTATTACTATGGATGGATATTATAGCAAGCATTTGCACTTTGTATATTTTATATATATTAATATGTTGTCAAATTATACTTTTTATTTTTATTTTTTCTGTTTTTTTTTTTTTTTTTAATTTGTAATTTCCTCCTTAATTATCATATTGGACAATAGATTCTTATTGATGTTGTGCATTATTGAATTTCAAAATTTGAATAAATATAATAATTGTTGCTTATTTAAATACAATAATAACATCATTTCAATATCTATATTTTATAAATAGATTTTGTTTTGTTAGAAGAAGAAAAAGTTTAGGATGTCAACCGATCGACCGACCAATCGATCAATGGGACTTTAATGAGAAGATGAAAGAACGAGAGGAAACGGCTCTTTATTATTATTATGAATTTTTAAGTGATAAAGCTGATGATTACGATTATGATGCAAATTTGCGATAACTTGTGATTTATTTACGATTAATATCAATATTAATGCCTTTCATCATTGTGCGTATTAATAAAATCCATTATCCGAGAACGATTACGAGAAATAAAACAAATCCCTAAATTAAGAAACATGATGATAATAATAATAATTTACAAAGTGAACCAATTATATGTACAATCAGAAGAAAAAATTATCGATTGCTATCAATTAGATATATTATTAAACCGGAATGGACCAACAATGTAAGAAAAATAAATAAAATTAAAAATCAACTCATTTTCATTCAACGGTAAAATATTTTATTTGTTCCTTCCCGTTCACGCAAACACTTTTATGTTATTGTTAACCACAATTATATCTGCATTTGCATTTCTATCATCAATATTCATTTAATCAACAATAGAGAATTATCAACAGTTTTAAATCTTCTCTTCTTCGTTTTTTTTCTCTTCTCACATTGACTAACAAACAAATAGGAGCCATTTATTATTTATAGATTTGATTAATAAAAAATCTACCATTTATGAACTTCACCACAAAAGAAATCTTGAAGAGAGATGCAGGGATTTTATTAATAATAATAATATAAGCGTTAAAAACAATTATCATTTATTTTTAAAAAATTTTTAATTATCATAAAGTAAAATAAATTATTACAAAATAAATAATATATATATCGTATAAAAACACGTCCATCGTCATCAATACCAACACCATCACCATTTTCAAAAAAGATTTAAAAAAAAAGTTCTCTAGTTTTAAAAAAGAAAAAAAAGAATAAGAAAAACAAAAACTATTTTTTTAAAAAAATAAAGAACTTGTCCCGACTTACCACCTCCATATCCTTTCTCATCACATCTTTAAATAAATAAATTCATATATCTATTCAATTTTTATATGGAAAATTTACCTTCACCTTCTTTTATTTTTTTTTCGTTCCAAATTTAAAAAAAAAAAATATGGTAAACCAAAGAAAAACCAGAAATAATTCAAATGATAATTCCACCCGCAGGACGGGTCCCTGGGAACCATATGTTAGTTTTTTCTCACAAATACAATTCTGATAAATATTATTATTCTGACAAAAATCGTTTATAGGAAGATGAAAGGTTGCTATCGATTGTAAAAGAGTTGGGAGTTAAACATTGGAAACTAATTGGTATAAAACACGGTTTGAGAGATGGAAAGCAATGTCGCGAAAGGTATTTTTCATTTGTTTTACATTTTCATGGTTGATAGTTGTGGAAACCGAAACGGGTATTAAAAGGAATTTGTTTCTTTGTTTCCTTCAATTTAATATATTTATTAGATGGCATAATCATCTTAATCCCAATTGTAAGTGCTTATAATATCGGAAAGATTCTTTTTTCGGATTTTTTCCTTCCTTTCCAAAAATATATATATATACATACATATATATGTGTGTGTATATAATTCTAATCCTCACAATCTTTGCTTAGTAATATATGGTCCATTGACACCTAAAGAAGACGAATTAATATTGTATTATTACTCAGAAATGGGAACAAAATGGGCCGTAATGGGTCATTTATTAGGTCGGCCGGCCAATCTTATCAAAAATCGTTATTATTCCTCTTTATGTAAAAAACGTACAAAGTCTTTGGTGATATGTGGTGATGATGATAACATTAATAATATTGAAACATCAACGAAACGAGTTAAATTAAATGACGACGACGATGATGATGATGGTAATAATCTTATTACAGGTATATTAAAGCGTGGTATTTATTTTTTTTAATTTATCGAAAAATTTTTTTTTCAATTTAATAAATTTATAAATATTTTTAAAGATACATCACAAAAACAACAAAAACGGAAAAAACGAAAATTTAAAAAAATTCCCTTGAATCATCATCAATCTACCGCCATCACCACTGTCAGCACCAACACTACCAATAATAGTCATAATTTCATTCTTAGAACACCTAATATTAGTGTTAATTCTAGTCCAACCCTTAATAATAATAATAATAATAATAATAATAATAATAATAATAATAGTAATAGTAATAATAATAATAATAATAATAATAATAATAATAATAATAATAATAATAATAATAACAATAATAACAACAGCAACATTAACGATGGTAATAATGATAATAATAATAATAATGAAAACAATAATTGTCGTATAATTGGAGGGTATAATAATTTGGAATGGCATAGTAGAAAGGAGTGGATGGCCACAAGAGATAGTTTTATATTTTCGATGGATAATAGAAATAAAGTGATAAATTGTATACTTAGTAGAGTGAAACGATCCAATCGAGCTATTTGGGGTGCCCAAAGAAATCCTTGTTTCAGTTTTGATTTACAATGGTTTAAAGGAAAATGCTTACAAAGTTCCTATGAAGCTAAAATAACTGACAAAGAAGATTTTAATATTATTGATTACGAAGTATTTCAAGTAATAACGAACATTGATTAGATTGGGGGAATGAATAGATTATGAGAAGAAAAGGAGAGACTTTGAGATAGGGGAAGATGAATGAGATTGGAGATGAGGGCATTAGCATTGAAGCGAGAGTAGAAATCGTGAAGTGTTGTTGTTGCTGAATGTTTATGAATAATTTATACAGATGGTGATTATAATTAGAATTAGAATTATAATTAAGATTTATATTATCAATTAATTATTTATTTATTTTCTCTGATTACTTGATAGATTAGATTTCCTATTAATTTTTAAATCGATAATATAACTAAAATAACCTGCACTTTTTGTTGCTTTATATAACAAAAAAATATGCAAATAATAAAAAATAATTATTATAAAAAAGTAAATTAATGCTCAATTAAATTGATATAACGTGTGATCAATCAATAAAAGAAGGAATTGGGAATATGAAAACATAACAATGATGAAATTAAAAAAAAAATTCTATCAATTAATATACACAATAATAATAATGGTGGTGGTAGTTAATCTATATTTTTTTTTTCAAAGATATTATAAATAAATTAATAATAACAAGAGTATTTTACATTATAAAAAAATACTCTTTACTATTATTAATCTTTTATCAATCCTTATTATTTTGTAATAATGCTGCTTTTATTCTTTATTCTTTTATTATTTTATAATAATGATATTAATAATATTTAGAAAACATCTACACCTTCCATGAGAGATAATCTCTTAACATATTCTTCTATATTAGAAATTTCTGCGTCAACATCATCATTGGAATTATCCACATTGTCAACTTTTTTACTGCTAGTAGCAGTAGCACCGCTACTACCACTATTATCATTTCCGTGTAAATGACCATAAAACCATTTTTCCAATAATAAATAAACTTTTTCATTTAAAGGACCATAAAACAATAAATATAAAACATCCTCTTGTAAATAGCTATTATAATTAATATTAGTAAAATAAGACAGATCCTCCTCCACACAATCATTAAGATTATTGAAAACAATCATAAGAGCATCAACTATACCAACATCAATAAATTGCTTTGCATAAGGATTTTGTGAAATTGTTGTTTGTGATGACCTGCACATATCACCGACTGATAATATATTAACAAATAGTTCAATAACTTTATGCAGAAATTCCTCGGGTGTTGATAAATTTTTTAAAATTGGTAAAAGTGGAGCAAGTATATCATATTGTAAAATAAAACTATGACGTTGATAATGATAGTGAGGGCGAGTATAATAGTCGGAACAAATGATAAAAATAATATAATTATAATAATATGGTTAAAATTTATTATTATTATTGTTATGATTAAAAGAAATCTTACTTTGTGTGACCAGGATCATGTAATCTTGTAACGTTGCTAAGTACCCAACATGCTTCTTTCACAACTCTTATATCACTATCCCAAAGTAACATGACAATATGATCAATTAGACTTGGTTCTTTAAGAACGGCTTCTACCTAAATAAAATACAAAAAAAAGATTAAAGTGATAATGAAAAAAAAACGACGACAAGATTGAATTCGGAGGAAATTATTGTATTATAATTAACTAACCTGACAAAAAGTACCAGCGGCTATATTTGAAATGGCAAGACAAGCATAACGCCTTAATGTTGTATTTTTGCCTGTTAAAAACAAATTTGCTAATGTAGTTAATGCACCTGCATCTATTACCGATTGTGTTTGTTTTTCTATTATCATTATTAAAATTTTTTTTAAAAAAATATTTATATTAGTATATATTTATATGATATGTAAATTGAATCATATGTGCAAAAAAAAAATTAAACCTGTTCCGGATGTAATGTTAACTATAGTACGTAGAACAGGCAAATGAATTGAAGAATCATAATTTTTTTTGCTGCATAATTTTTTTAAAATTATTGATTATTGAGAATTGATGATTACAATTAAATCAAAATTTATAAATTAGTTAAATCGGTTACTTTAGTATCTCAACTAGACGACGACATAATTTATTATCAACTATCAAATTACAATCTTGGCGATGAGTACCATTCAATATTCTAGACATTGCCCAACTATAACAATAATATTAAATAAAAGTGTATTTATATATGTTAATAAAATAAAAAAAATTAATTTTAATATTTACCAGGAATCTGAAATTATCTCGGCATCATCTAATTGTACAATATCTGCAAAAATTGAAAATGCTCCTGAAATCTGATTGATTAATAATAGTAATAATACCAACATTCCAAAATCAATATTAATGAATTAATAATAATCATTACTATTATTATTTCACACATATGCTTACTGATGACCAAGAATCATATGCAGAAGAACAAGCACGACAAAGATTTGCAGCGGCCCAAACAGTTATCCTAACAATCATATAATTGTATCGACCATAATTCTTCAACAAATAAATAAATGTATCAAGTACACCGGTTGATAAAATAATATCCCTGAACGTTGATCTATCTCCTGCTATATTTCCCAAAGCCCATATAATCTATATGATAAACATTATTTAATAATCCGAGTGAATCTTTGTTTCTTTGATTACAAAACTGCACCATGCAATCAGTCATCTAACTAATTGTTTATTTATTTATCAGATACCTGTGATTGCACTTCCATTTTATTTGATTTTGTTAAAACATCAACAAGATGTTGTATAACACCGGCTGAAACTATTACTTGAATCTGTCGTGTAGAACCAGCCTAAAATCATTCAATTCATTAGGCAACAATAATAATTATATAATTTATAAATTTTAAAAATATAAAATGAAATATTACAGCTATATTTGTGATAATCCAAGCTGTTTCATACTAAAAATAGAATAAATATATACATGAATAAAAAATATCATTTTATTAGCAGGTTAAAATAAATAACAATTTCTCAAGTTAGTTAAATTTTCTTTCACCTGTAACATATTATCATTATGATCTTCAAGAAATTCGATGAGCAAAGGTACTATATCTAAATCAAGAACATTTTCAACCCTTTGATCAACTTTTTCTTTTTGTTTAAAGAAAAAAAAAAAGGATTATATTATTATCTGAATCAAATATCTGACAATCATGCTAATTAAAGAGACGACCGATAATTAGATAATTAATTACGAAAAGAAAGATATTTTCGAAGTCTTGTAATTGCAGCAAGACGAAAAGAAGGAATTTTAGAGTAAACAGCTGCAATAATAGCTTGTGAATATCTTGGCAGCTAAATAAATTATTATTAGCACACGCACATAACCATCATAAGCATCGTATTCAATATAAGCATCATAGCCATTATATATAATCAGTATAATCACTGATAATATTAATAATAATCGTTATCGTTCGTTACCAACCAAGTCAGATGTATCACAAACAGGTAAACCATCATTAGTTTCCGACATATCGACATTATCATCATTAGGAGATACAGATAAATTTGCTAATTTACGATTCAAAAATTCTAAAATATCTGAATCTTCTCCCGCTATAGTTTTTTTAGTATTTGATGAAGACATTTTTTTGAAGGAGGAAAAAGAGGGCGAAAAATATTATTTTGAAATTTTTTTATTTTTATTTGTCATGTCATACGTGACACAAAAAGAAGTTACACTTGAAAAAAAAAATTATATAGGGATACTTTGAGGAAATTTAAATAATTGTTGTGGATCAACATTTGATTTCAAAATTTGTAAAGTTTTTAAATTGTCACCATAATATCTAGTTGGCCAATCGTCTAAATCCCTATCTATATAATTTATGTAACTGGAAGGAGATGTGAAATCACGTTGGAATGATTTACCGAAATCGTTAATTTGTTTAATACAAACGTTTCCTTGTTTGTCTGATTTCCAACCCGATGTTAATAATTGTATACCGTAGAAGAAATCCAAATGTTGTAAGATTGATTTATTAGGATTGACATTAATACCACCAGCGAATACATCGAATTCAGCAAATGTATCACATGGGATTTTCTTTAGAAATTCCACTAATGTGTCTAGACCATTGGTTGATAACCCTGATTTTCCGACCAAGAAGGATTTAGCTTTAAAGTTATAAGGTGTAATTTTCGGATTTATATTTCTAGCTCTTGACTCAAACGAAATTCTAACCACCGAATCAAACCACGATTCTTCGAACAATTGCAAACCTTCAGAACCAACATCATTTAAAAATGCATTCATTACTTTTGATGCAGAATTCTTATCGCCCAAATATACACCAGAAAGTGCAATTTCATCTGACGTGAGTACGACATTGAATGTAAGATCTGTCGTGAGTCCATTGCTGTTTTTGTGCACTGAATTGAAAACTTTATGTAGTTGTTGAGTGGTTAGATCCCATGTAATACCAATTGTGGTGACTTTTGGAACAATTTGGTGAATTCTGATTGTGAAAGATGTGACGATTCCAAAATTACCACCGCCACCACCTCTCAATCCAAAAAATAAATCCGGACGATTATTTGTATCGACTGTAATGGATTCACCGGATGCGAGCACCATTTCCACCGATACTAATTGATCCGACAATTTACCGAATTTTCTTACCAAATTTCCAATTCCCTGTAAAAAATTAATATAAATGAATATGAGATAGATGTAGGCATATGGAGGATGGACGCTAGTCCATTAAATAAAGATGCTGGCAATACTTACACCACCTAAAATATGGCCAGAAATACCAACTGAAGGGCAAGTTCCGGCTGGCACCACATAATTATCTTTAGATAAAGCAAAATAAATATTTCCAAGCCTATTACCAGCACCAACCTTAACTAAATTGTTGGTTTTGTCGATCTGTATCTGATTGAAATTTTTCAAATCAACCACCAAAGCACCATCTTTGCCACCCAACGAATAACTCTCGTAGGAATGCCCGCCTGATCTTGGTGTTATATTTAAGTTGAAGGATTTAGCGCATTCGATAGCTAATTGTATGTCTTTAACTGAATTTGGAAATACGATGGCGTTGGGCAAGAATTCTATAGCAGAGTTTTCATCGATGATTGTAGAGTTGTAATTGGGACTTGATTTGAATACTTTTTCACCGGTTATTGGTTTTAAACAATCCTCAAAGGCATTTTGATTAATTGCGCGTTTTCTATAAAGTTTAAGATTATGTATATTATTAATTGCAAGGATTTCTTCTGATATTATTATTAAAAAGAAAAGGCATGCATGTATTTTGAAACGCATATTTTTATTAAATTAATCAATTAATTAATTATAAAAATTTTAAAAAAAATACTTTCCTCTATATATATATATATTAATATATATATAAATATTAATTGCCATGACGTTGATTTATTTTTAGAATTGACGCGTGTAATGCATGGTATTATTTCATTGATGTAGTATTATTAGGTCAATCATTCAAACCAAAATTAAAAAATTAATTAGTGTATAAAAAATAATTAACAATAATATAAATATTATCTAAAAAGGAACAAATTTTTTCTAAAAATATGATTTAGTATGATTTAAAGTTACCTCTTAAAGGTAACCAATACTTTTGAATCGAATAAAGAAAAAGGATTTGCTACAATAAAAATAAGGATGGATTACTCTAACAAAAAAAAAGATTAATAATTTGTGGTTCCCAAATATTAATTTAATATACTACTTTTTTTAAAACTCTTGTCCGTTTTTTTGATAGTTTGCAATTACATAGTAATTCAACAAAGAGTAAAAAAAACGGAAATTAATTATTAAAAAAGTAGTATTAATATTTAATATTAATATTAGAACCTCTCTGACCTATGTAATGCCTTCTTTTAATTAATCAATATCATAATAACCACGCAATCACAATCGCAATCACAATCATCATCATTATTAATAATTAATGAATGAAATTCAATAACGATTAAAGGAGAGAAGTCAGATGCCAGTGAAACAATATCACAACTTCATCAATAAGAGAATAACAATTTTAGCTTTTTTATTTTTGACGATAAAATAAACAAAATATACTTTTTTTTTGTAATTACATGTCACATGATCAAATCCTGTTTGAAACAGAACGACACATCAAGTGTACCTCGCTCCATATTATTTATTTGATATGGAAGAAACCTTTTTTGGAGTTTATAATAACATAAAACATTATCATTTAATAATGACCTTGTCTTGTTGGTGAAATTTTTTAAAAATCTAATGCCTATTACTTCTTTGCATAAGTTTCGAGATTGTTGGATCTCAAACTTTAAATCGGAAACTGAAATAAAATCGAAATTAAAACTGAATTTTATATTCTCACAATGATTGGTAAGATATTATTTCATCAAATGAAGGCTTCCGCATGGGCTACTATCATTAGAATATTTACAATTCGTTCCTTTTGGTATCTGGTAAAGGTATTTCGAGTAGGATTATTATTATTATTATTTGATTTTTGGTTTCGATTTTCGTTGAGGATATTTTGATTTCGAAAACTAGTTGTATTTTTTCAAAGGTTCCGATTGAATTTCTCCGTCATACATGGTTTCTTTGCAATAATTACTTCATAATACATACAAGAAACACAAAGTAAAATTGGGCTGATATAATATCACTTTATATTATATAATGTTCTGGACAAAAGGCTGGAAATAATGGCACGCTTTTATGTTAATCGTGATAGTAGAGATCTACACGGGCTAATTTTGCATGTAATAATAATAATTGTTATTGTTTATATACTTAAAATCATATGTTATTTTTTATTTGTTGAACATTTATGGTCATATTCAATTACACATTTTTGCCCCGAGTCTGCATCTACAGTTTTTTTTAATTGTGTGTGTATATATATATTCAGCAGAAATAAATTTTAATAAAACAGTTACTTTATAAACAACTGGCACTTTTCTTCTTTTATTGATAATCGATAAAATCGTAACTCTCTTGCTTTTATTATATGTCATCATATAAAAAATCTCATTCTTTAAATTCATATCTCGGGTAACCATTTAAATATTAATATTACAATTACGTAAATAGTAAATTCAATTTTTTACCCTTGTTGATATAAAAATTTAATCAAGTTTTCAAATTAGGCATAGAATACAAACGATAATAAGATTTCAATTGACAAAAAACAATTTATCTTTTCTTGAAAAACGTAGAATTTGCAAAGAGCTTTTAGCTAATAATAATTAGGGAATTTTTTATAGAAATGTTATCTTTTCATAGAAAAAAGTCATACATTTCCTATTCTCCTCATTAAAGACGACTCTCGATATAAAATTTGCTGTGCCAGCCAGACCTATAAATTTGACTGCATATCTATAATTAGATCCGACTGCTTGGTTCACTGTAAACACGTGATAAAATGATGCCAAATTTTTATATAATTTATAATTTATTTTTAGCAATGACATCAGCATATAAGCATAACAATGACAGCTACTACTTCTGCTACAGATGATCAAAAACAATCTTTATGATACATATTGTGTCAAACAAGATGTACAACAATCTTTAGATTTTTTTACCGTAGTGTTACCAGAATTAAGATTTAACGCTAATTTGTTAGTCGAAATACCCTAATTCCGAACCAAATTTTTATTTCTATTTTTATTTTATTTACTTTATTTTTATATCCACTTATTCATTTATTCCTTATATTTGATTTCTTATTTTATTTTTATCTATTATTAATATTTATTTACATTTTTATTATTTTATTTGTATTACATTTTTATTTTTATTCGTATAACGTCGAAATTAGTTGACTTTATTTAGAAATTAGCGTCGCGGTTAGAATGGTATAGCAACATTTACATTAACAGTCATGATTTAATGGTAATAGTAAAATCATTGATCATCCCAGAAAAGGAAAGAATGTGATGATGATCTTCTCTAATGGTTTCTTGGATTTTTTAGGTAGGATGAAATGGTTTATTTGATAATGATGAGCCATTGTCATTGCCAGAGAATAATTTTCTACTGGAACCAAGTTGAGTTTTTTGATATGTTTTTTCCCAGATTTAAAATTGGTGTTAGTTTCTTTCTCTTGAAAAATAAAATAAAAATTTTCTTGAGGATTCAAAAAATACTTGACATCCTATGTTTATGTATGATAATGTGATGTTTTGAATAATACATAGTTGCAAGTTAACTGATTTACTCAAAGCCTGAAAATACTTTGAACTAAGGTTGTGGGTGAAACCTCCTTAGTAATTGCTGAAACCATGGCAAAACTATATTAAATCTTATCAAAAATCCTGTTGAAACTATGCTAAAATGGCGAAACCTCAAAATGCAAAACTCTGCCAAAACTCTAATAAACAATTAATGTGTAACCTACCAAAACCCTGCTGATTGATTTCTGGAGGAGTTTTGACAAGCAACCTTAGGGTGATGTATTAATAAGGATGCAATAACTATCCAGAATAGATCCTGGGTTATCAATAATTGAGGTAACATCCTAACCTACTATATTTGTAGTGCAAATTTTTGTCATATTAAGCACATGGCTGTCCAAATGCTTTTTAAAGAGAAGAATTTTTTGGCACTGAAATTTTATT